GAAGCAGCACACGGGGGTAATGCACTCCCCTCGCCGCCATCTTCCTTCCCTCCGCTTCAGATTTTCTATGACTCTTGTTAGCCCTCCGTCTCACCCGCAGGTGAGAACTGAAACTGACTCTTTCCTCAGGTTGAAAATTCTGCATTGCTGTGTGCTTTTATAAAAAGCTTCCCCCCTCAATAAAATGGATACATCAAAATGGATAGGATACATGTATTTTAATGAACAAACAGCATTTTAATAAGATTCCTTTTGTAGGTTAACTCATTCTACTAAAGATCTAATAAGTAGAAATAATATAGCAGATAACTGTACAATTCAGGCCCCAGTCAGCTTGGACTATGGAGTTAATCATTGGAAATATGCAAGTAGAATTTCAGCAAGAAAAATATCCTTGGAGTAACACAATAATCTATCTGGGAAAAGGAACAGATCTCTTCTAGATAAAAATGGAAGCAAACTGTTTATAAAAATTCTTTGTTTGATTTTTGTTTTTGGCAGCATGAGAGAAACTAATTTGGTTTTATTTTAAAATTCTAGTGATAATAAGGTTTTGCACATTCCCTCTGGAGTAGCTTTTTCTCTACTGTAGCTAGACCCCAACTTTCCACATGTTTCCTAGGGAATTTTTAGTTGACACTTGATTTTTCACTTTTCTGTCTGAACCAGAAACAATGGACTTGGTGCTGATTCTCTGAGTCCAGTATTTCATTATGCTTTCTCAGGAATCGGAGACAAGTGTTTCTGAGCACATGCAAGTCTAGTCCTTGCTTTCCTTCTACAGTTACCCATTATGCATGCAAGAATTTGAATTATTGGAAAATTGTCGCTGCCTCCCTCTGTTGAAGATTGAACCTAGAGCCTCACACATACTAGGAAAGTGTGAGCAACATACTTGGTCCAGAATACCTTTTTTTCTTCTTTGTGTCTATGTTTTAAGACTGAAGAACACTTTCCCAGGATTCCACACCAGGATTGTTCTTGCTTTCATTCGCCAGAGCTGAATAATCTGCTCTTGCCCAAACTACTGATCTAATCATCCATGTCTTCATGCCATTTCTTAGGTTAACTTATGGTTCTAGAAGTAAAGCTCTTTTTCTTGTAGAGCAGTGGGACCTCAACAGTCCTTCCCCATAAGGCAGACACTGACCAGATGAGGAGGCATCAAACAATTGTCAGCTCCATTTACCCATGAAGAAAACACGTAGTCATCTGGATGTAAGCCTGTATCTCCTAATGAAGATGATAAACATACCAACCTTTACTCTGATCTGTCTGAACCTTACATTTGGCTTTCCAGCTAACTGAAACACAGTCTGGTTGCAGAGTTCAGAGTAGCCTTGAAATTTATATTCCTACCACCTTTCATGCAAAGTAAATTGACTGCATATTTGATTTTTCACAGCCCCTAGTGTTTACCCTCCCTGCAATAGCTGCCTGTGGGCTTTTGCTGCTAATTTTTTCTTCTTACAAAACAAGATACTGTCTCTGTGCGGATGGGCAGGGATGCACACAAATCAGAGTGCATCGTTTTAACAAAATCTTTCTTATTGGAACTTTGAAAGGTTAGATGGGACTTATGCTTTCAATGATGATTTTCTTAGCAAAGTGAGTAAACTAGACTTTTGTTCATTTGAAGCAACTTTGTTGCTTTAACATATACAATTAAACTGAGTTGAAATCTACTTTAAATGAAAATTGAGAACAAAGTAAGTAATCAGTCAATGTAACATTTGTGGTTACAGCTCTTGTATATATTAGGATAAGTTGAGAAGGGGAAAAAAAAACTGTTCAGCATTGCCAGACATTTTGTTTTATTCCAAAAGGGAAAAATCTGTGAGTTGGCAGTGTTTGAAATTGACTGTAAAATATTACATAAAATGATAATTTGTTTTCATATTTATATGAGCCCTGCATTTATTTCCACTGATCCAATTTAATCATGGTAAATCAGTATCCATAAGCACTAGAATGAGGAAACCTCCAATTTATCTAATGAAATGTATCTATTTGTTTGGTTTTTCCATCTATCCTAGTAACCATGAGTAGGGCCTTTTAATTTGACATTTGAAAACATTTGTATTAATAATAGCAATTTTTAAATGTTCGTACCTCTTGAAATGTGACATTTATAAAGTTAATGCATATATTTTTTTCTGTCTTATTACAAGTTATTTCCTTAATGTTATGGATTTGGGATGGCTGCCAGTGACTCACTGCCTCAATAACTGATGATGTTGAGAAAGAAATGATTATGCTTTAAGATATTTAGTTAGATTTATGAGTGCTGACTTGGGTTTTGTGTGCAGGCAGATGAGTTCACATTAGAGTCATCTGAAGAGTCTGGGTCTCTGGTTAAAGTTTAAATTCAGCCATTGGAAGGTCATGATATTTTATGAAGTTTAACCCTTGAGCCATCTACATACATACTTTTTGGAATCAGCTGCTTTTGATTTTAAGCATAGTTAACATTCAGTTATTAATGAAAGCACCCCTCCCTGCTGTGTATCCTGTACAAACAGAGCACTGGAATTCCAAGGAGCAATGAATTATTGGTTTGTTTTCTCCTTAACTCTTAAAATTATGCATTTAGAAAAGTATCTAGAATTTCCAGTAACTTTCTAAGCTATTTTTGATCAACTGTATTAAAAATTTGATTAATGAGATATGGGGGGAGAGAATCATTTGTTAATTAGAATTTGTTCTGTAAAATAATTTGCTCACTTGTAGATATTAAAATTATTTAGTGCATATATTGCTCAGGATTCGTGGTTTAGGGAACAGAAATGAAATTCATAATGCTTCAACATAGGTGAATTTACTATCTTACATACCATACTCTTGGGAAATTCCTGCTTCAGGCATAGCTGTATCCAGGAGTTCAAAGAAGTTCACCAGTTACTAATCTCTTTATACTCTGTTATCCTCTGTGTTGGCTTTATTCTCTGGCACTTTCTGTCCTTGTTTTATCCATGAACACTAGCTTCCTTGTGTTCTGAAAACTCCAATTGCACCAAAGGCAAAGACTTTTTTCCTGTGTATTATCTCTCGAAAAGTCAGGAAATGAAATTTGGTGATCAGGTACACAAAGATCTCATCCTTGACCTAATGCTCTGTCTAGAGGCTGGAATCTATCAGTGGTTGACAGATGGTATTTCCCAACAATCAATTGGATCTTGGTAGAGATGCACATTTTCAGGCCCCATTCCAGGCCCAGTGAATCAGAAAACCTGGGAGCAGGCTTAAGGTGTTGTCTTCCAGCAATCCCAGCTGGTGCTCCAGAATGCCACAGCGGTCTACTAACTGTTCAGTCTGGCTCCTGAGCGCACCCTACAGCTTCAGTGAAATCTCAACCCAACAGAAAGCACACAGCAAAGACATCTGAGGAACTGATAGGAGGAAAGAGAAAGAGCAGAGGCTGTGCTGGCCAGCAGGACAGATGCCCATGTCAATGAGATTTCAGCTCAGTAAAGTGGTTTTCCCTTTTGTCTAATGCCGTTACTTCTCAGAACACTGCCGCTGATGAATCCTCCTCTAGAAAACCAATACTCTAATTAGGCAAATACACTTTCATCCTCTTCTAGGATACAGTGATTTTCTTTAAATTTTATTTCTAAACAAGTGGATGGCCAATCCTAAAAGGTTTCTGGACCATGTTATTTTCTTATCAATTATTATTATTCTGATCTCTAAGGCATCCAGTTAATCCTTCAATGACCAGCCTTATTGCTCCTCTTTGATAAATAATCAAGTAAGTTCACTGAATTTTAAAAGTTTTCAATGAAAATGGCAACAATGCCTGCTAGAATTTGGGTAAGATGGTCAGCACTGAAACATGATCTAAAATAATTTTTAAGTGATTATTTTATGAAAGCTCCCAAGAAGGGGGAAGAAGGAAAGTTTCACTTTGCTGACATTATTTTTGTGATTTACAAGTTGAACTGTGACACAGGCTTAGTATCCAGAGGGAGGCAGAAGAGTACACGCCAGTGTTTCTCAATTTATCAGTTCCCAAGAATCCTCTGGGTGCTTGTTAAAAATCTACAAACAGTGTACTCTCATGATACAGTCACAGCAGTGATTACATGCACAATTGACAAGAGCCATTTAAGGAGTCAGATCAGGTGCCCACCAGCGGATGAGTGGATAAGGAAAATGTGGTATGTAGACACAGTAGAGTTCTCAGCCCTAAAGAAGAATGAAGTGATGGGACTTGCTGGTGAATGGATGGAACTAGAGAACATCATGCTAAGTGAAATAAACCAGACCCAGAAAGTCAAAGTTGAATGTTTTCTTTCATATGCAGAAGCTAGAGTAAAACAAGGAATAAAAAGTTGGGGGGGGGGTGGTAATCCCATGAAAATAGAAGAAGAGAGGTCAGTGGAGTGGAGGAAGGGATACAGGGAGAAGGACAGGGAAGGGTTGAATGGTGGAGTGATCTGACCAAACTTTCCTATGTACATATAGGTGAGATTCACTGTGCTATATTTATATGAATAGCTATAAAGTACTGCTATAGACAGAAGGAAGGCCAGTGGAGTCAAGAAAGGGGGTCAGGGGAGGGAGGAGAGGAGGGACAGGGGAAGCACTGGGGACAGGAATGAAGCAAATTATATTCCATGCTTGTGTGATGCTGTCAAAATGAGCCTTGCTATTATGTATAACTACAATGCACTAATAAATTTTTTTTTTAAAAAAATCCAGAGCCCAAAGTTCTTTTTTAGGATATTTTTATTTGGGAAGTCAGCAATGGAAACATTTAACTTGTGTTTTTAGTTTTTGTCTGTAAATTCTCACAGTTAGCATGTCTGGAGCAGAGTCTGTATTGGTGAGTGTGCAGGTTGCTGGACGCCAATGGCCGTGGCTGTCACTAGCAGGGGATGAGCTGTTTAGCTTCATCCACCCAGTGTTAGCTGCTACTGTAGCTGTTTGCTAATGTTGGTTGTTGTTCTCTTTTGAGTAACCTGCCTGTCTTCCCTTCTCTCCTTCTCATGCTGCAGATAGAGGACATGCAATGGGGTAGGGGTGTCCGGGAGATCCCGCCCTCAGTGTGCACGCTGCCCTGTAAGCCTGGGCAGAGGAAGAAGACCCAGAAGGGAACACCCTGCTGCTGGACCTGTGAGCCTTGTGATGGATACCAGTACCAGTTTGATGAGATGACATGCCAGCACTGCCCGTATGACCAACGTCCCAATGAAAATCGAACTGGCTGCCAGAATATCCCCATCATCAAACTGGAGTGGCACTCCCCCTGGGCTGTCATCCCTGTCTTCCTGGCGATGTTGGGGATCATCGCCACCATCTTTGTCATGGCCACTTTTATCCGCTACAATGACACGCCCATTGTACGGGCCTCTGGGCGGGAACTCAGCTATGTTCTGTTGACAGGCATCTTTCTTTGCTACATCATCACTTTCCTGATGATCGCCAAACCTGATGTGGCAGTCTGTTCTTTCCGGCGTGTTTTCTTGGGCTTGGGGATGTGCATCAGTTATGCAGCCCTTTTGACTAAAACCAATCGGATATATCGCATCTTTGAGCAGGGTAAGAAGTCAGTGACAGCTCCCAGGCTCATAAGCCCAACGTCACAGCTGGCAATCACTTCCAGTTTGATATCTGTGCAACTTCTAGGTGTTTTCATTTGGTTTGGGGTGGACCCACCCAATATCATCATAGACTATGACGAACATAAGACCATGAACCCCGAGCAGGCCAGGGGCGTTCTCAAATGTGACATTACAGACCTCCAAATCATTTGCTCCTTGGGATACAGCATCCTCCTCATGGTCACATGTACTGTGTATGCCATCAAGACTCGGGGTGTGCCAGAAAATTTTAACGAAGCCAAGCCCATTGGATTTACCATGTACACGACTTGCATAGTCTGGCTCGCCTTCATTCCGATTTTTTTCGGCACTGCACAATCAGCGGAAAAGGTAAGTGAAACTCACATCACTCCATGCTTTTCACAAATGTGTTTTTGTTAAGCATCAAAAGCAAATAGGTTTTATAAAGTAGGAGGTTTTACACATGCAGAATGGTATTTCTAAGAGGAGAAACAGCCAAATGAATAGGCACACATGTTCCAGGAAGCTAAAATTTGCAGTGAACTGTGCATAGTCCTTTGAAAACTGACCAGAGGTAGCCTTTTCAAGTTAATTATATGTACAACAGAATTACTGGATGCCATAGGAAATTATCCAGTATAAGATGATCTAATCTATCTAAATTACACCTTTCTGTTCATTCATTCATATCCCACTCTGCTTACACACACATTTCTTCAGGATAGAAGGTGGCTGTGGGACACATTTTCCAGGTAGGATCCCACCCCCAACCCGCCTTCTCCCCTGGGTGGCTGTCTCCGCCGCATTAGAGATGAGATCTGATATGTAAGCTACGCATTGTAGTAAGAGTGTTCTAGTTCTACACGCAGAAAATATAGACAGATGGGTGAATGAAGGAGAACTTCGGTGGTTATTTCTCCCTAGACTCCTTATGTCTGCATACATATGAATCAGAGGAAATGAATTACAGTGAGGCCAGAGAGAATTTCCCAGCCGAGAGAGATAGGGCATGAAGGAGCTGTGGAAGTTCAAAGTTTAGAAAGCCAGGAGGCTCTAATACATTGGTCTGAGGTACAGTTAAGGTATATGGCCCTCATATCCTAACAAATTATACATCTGTAAATTAGCTCTAATGTCTTGATTTTTAATGCAATTAATGTTTTGTTAGGTGCAGGTTTGACATGCCTGTCATCTAGGCATTCCTAAAGTTGACGTGATTCGTATGCATCTGACTTCTGTGCTTACCCCTTTTGGCTATGGTTTTGTGCCTTTGCATCTAATGAGATTAATCTAATGAGATGTGGGTTCCTTCAGTAGATATAAAGAGTTCTGACAGGTTGGTACAACTGAGGCTGGAACTGAGATCTTGAGTCCCTGATACTTTATATAGGAGAGAGCCTTTTTATAGATTGTGCTCTAGGACATTGGGTGTCTGGTCTCTTCCCATGTTATTTTGGATGAATCTTTTAAAAACTTTAGAGATTAGACTCTCAAGTGGGAAGAAACGAAGGCTGAAGCTGGACTGTCTTAAAATGTACCAAAGTCTGTACTTTCCGGAATTAGTTGACTGATGTTGGTTGTCTCTCTCTCCTGTATATCATATATAGAAAGTGAATGGCTTTTAGCAGGTTAGCTCACTGAATGGATGTCTTTTATTGAAATTGTGTGATTCAGAAGCTGTAAGTTGGAACTGTGCTTTCATTTTTTGAGTGAGTATTTCAGTGAAACTACACAGAATTCTGAAACTAAGGAAAGTCAACCATTCCAGATTATAGTTTCAGTCCTGAAATGTCTTAGAAGATTTTCCTAAGATATATGCTCAATAAGCATAGCAAGCTCCAACAGTATGTTTCAAATTCATAATGTGTGTTTATTGTCTATTAAGCCACCTTGAAATTCACTTTATTTCCTTGATCCCTAGGTCAAGGGAATTACAGAATATAGATTAATGTAGGGAAATGCAATAGAAAAGAAAACACACACACATGCATACACATATGCTGGTAGGTTGATAACCAGTGAACTTTCTGGAGGGAGTGATGGGCATTATCAAAGTCTATGGAGATAATTATTTATTACTAGAACAAAATACACACCATCAAGCAAGTTAAAGACAGTTGCATCCTGCACATTTATTGTTTTGGAATATAAAACTGGGCAATCAGCAGTAGTTTTATAGATGGGTCTTGTAGCACTAATTTGACAATACATTTCTTATTTCTAATTATGACTGTAGATCTTTTCAATAAGGTCACATGTATATTTAAAAAGCAGAAAATGATACAAAGTTCTAGGAATTGCATTCACCAGTTACAGCTCTTCCAGAAGACACTGGTGCTGATACAATTGACTGTGGAAAACACAAACCTGTTTTCAAGCAGCATGCTTTTCATATCAGAGTTTCAAAAAACACATTTTTTCTTTGTACAATCTCCAAAGGTTATGATGTTTTATATGGTTGACTGGCACAATTAAAGGTACCGAATTGCCAAATGGGAGCAATGAATTATCATATGAAAATTCACACCCTCTAATGATAGGCATATGGCTAAAGAAGCATGAGCGATCAATTAAAAAATATCACTCTGTGTACATGAAACCTTGGCATTTAAACTGTGAAAAGAGGCAAATTGCCAAGTGAAGCAATGAGATGACAGCAAAAGGCTTTTTTTTTTTTTTTTGGCCAAGCTAGCAAATTATAGGATCACACATTTTCCATTTTTATATAGATGTAACAGTTTAAGTATTTCAAATGGAAGAATTCCACTTCAGCAGAGAAAATCAAGATTAGGCAGTGAGTTCACTCATAACTGTTTACTGTTTCAGAAAATTGAATTTGCTTTGATTATGGTAGGGATAGTTCTCATTGGTTGAGTTTATTTAGCATAGCAGAAAGAATAAGCAAAGTTTTTATTTTCTTGCTAATTGTCAGACCCCAGGAAATTTAATTTTGCTTTTGCTCCGGAGAATGCATGAGATCATAGCCACTTTTCTTTCTTTCTTTTTTTTTTTTGGTCACTCATAACCTTTGGCTCCTAGAATGGGGATCCTGTAACAGGACCAGAAATGGAAGTGTGAACTTGAGCTTTAGGAGCATGATACCAGTTTTCAGGATTATCTGTAGGTGGCGACTGTAGTGATGTAATAAGACACTAGACCTGGTGAAGCAGCATCACAGGGGGAGCTGGCTGATCAGGGGTGGTGTGGCACTGTGTGTTTATTATATCTTGACACTACTGAAGGACCAGAGTGTTTTCTGTGGAAAGTGGAGGCTTGGCCTGTGGGTTGATCCAGGCAGGGAGTCATACATACAAGGAAAGAAGTCTGCTTTAGGAAGGGAAGTTACAGGCTATCCTGGCAGATTCTGAGAAACTATAGATGATCCAGCCATCCACAGCTTTCCAGCCAGCTGTTTTCTGGAGAACTTTCTTGATAAGTGTGGCGAGGGGGCAAAATTGCGATGTATGCAGTTTAGGGGAGAAATAAAGAATGTGCACACGCTTCTGCCTGTTTCAATGCTTTATTCACTCAAATTATTCAGTACAGTTTCACTCTATAGGTTCTTAATCAAGAAAAATGACAATCCTTAATGCTAGGCACTGCAATAGACATAATCAATTCACAGCAAACAATTCTAGATTAATTCTAAGCACTGCAAAACACTCTTAATCATGAAAGGCTAATCACAGACATTCCCTCTGTCTTAAGCCTTAGGCTTTATGTCCAGCAGATGCACACTCAGTCAGATTGCTATGATCAAGGCAGGCTTTTCCTGGTGTGGAGTGGACGACCGGTTGAGGAGAGGGTGGTAGGGAGAAGTTGTGGCTCTCACCAAGGTCCAGATGTAATGCCATATTCGTGGGACCCCAATAGACCTCCAGGAGCCGAATCCGATGCAGTAACACAAGAGTCTTTATTGCAAGCTCAAGCCTGGACTCACAGAGGTCCCAGTGAGGTTTTATGGGTTTTGGGGGGGATACTCTATGCAATCACAACATCACACAGCAAATCATTCCATACCTTGGGAAAATCAAACAACAACTCTTAACATTGATTAGCCCATTCACTGGCGGGAACAAGTTGGGTAGGGGTGATTGGTTAGTACAAGAGGGGGAATCCTTTGAACTGATTGGTTTAGGCCACGAGAGGTGTATGTGCTAAACTACATGGTTTCCCAACATGTTATCAACCACCATAAACTACTGGGGGGGTCATCTGGCATCCCAGGTATTTTCCCTGTCTCAGGATGATTGGAGGTTGCTGGGGGGTTGCTATGGGTCCTCATCTAGCTTAACTGAGTCAGGGACACCTGGTACCACAGATCTCTCCTGTTATTTACAGACAAACAACTCAGCAGGGTGGGTGTGTGCCTAGGAGTGTTCTGTGGGTTTTTCCCAGAATAAGGGTCATACCCCCTTCCTTTAGGACAGGCCTTGAGGTAGAAGCTGGTTTCTCAAAAATGGAGTCACATCAGTTTCTCACAGACAGGCAGTAGAGTTTGAAAGCGGTGAGGAGGATACTGCAGAGGATCAGGAACGATGACAAGTGATGGGATGTCAGGTCCTCATTAGGCTCTCCAGCTCGAGTGTACCTTGTTTCGGCTGGCTGAATCCCTGTTCATTTGCTCTATTATTTACTAAATTTGGGGGCCTTTGAACCCCCTTTTCAATGCTTATAAGGTACCACTGGATTCTCAGTGACATAATTTTTACCTTGGGGTCAGAAACATCTGGTCTGGTGGTCTTCACCCTGATCTACTCGCCTTTCCCTTTTATCAAGCGAGAGCAGCCTGCTAGGGGCTTCACTATCAGGGTGAGGGGAAAATAACTTTTTGGGGGCCATATTGGAGTGCTCTGTTGCCTGGTGAGACTGCCGGTTTCAAACTGGAGTTTTTAAAATGGAGTTGCTTAGGCTCAGGCCTAAGGCCATCCTCACAATAAGCCAGTACAGCCACGTGTCCATCACTTTTGCTCATAGGATCACCCTGTGACCCTGTGGCTGTCCTAGTTTGTGTTGATTCACTCTGTGAGCAGCTTGCTTCACACTACATTTCTCAGGCTGCAGGACTGTCTATTTCTTCCAGCTGTGCAGGATTGTCTATTTCTTCCATATGGGCTGGAAAGCCAGCTTTGCACAACTTGACCCCAAGGGATGGGATCCGGGGTTCTCAGAGGTCTTCTGTGAATGCAGCCTGTGGTTATTTGGATAAGGGAGGGTCAGGAAAAATTGAGCAAGGGAGGGTCAGGAAAAATTGCTGCAGAAGAGTAGTGGGCTCAAGGGGGAGGTCCACAGAACCAGGGGTGTTATGGGACTGAAGTAATAGGACCCTTTGGTTTTCCTCTGGAGCATTATCCTATTAAATGGCAGAA